AATAACTCCCCGGGAAGCTGGAAGTCAAGCGTGGAAGCAGGAAAAAGCTGGTGGGGCTGGGATAGATCAGCCCAGAGTGATTCGGCCTGGCCAAAGAAAGGGGACGGGAGAAGCCGGGAGGGGAGGGGAGGACAAAGCAGCTGTGGTGGTACATACCTGTAATCCCAACCACTCAGGATGATCTCAAGTTCAAGTCTAGCTTCAGCACCTTAGCACAACCCTATCTCAAAATAAAAAGGACAGGGGTATGACTCAGTGTCCCTGGGCTCTGGGCAGACACTGCCGGCCTCTTGCCAGCCTGGCCACACTAACAGCCTGAGCCTCAGGAAAACCCTGGGAGACATGGGGCAGAGCTGAGGGAGGGAGGGAAAGAGGACTGGCCTCACTGAGATGGGAGCCGGCATGCAGAAGGGATGTGGACAGAGAAGGGTGCACAGGGCAGGGAGGATGGGGGAAGGGAATGGAGGGGTAGGGTAGGGCCAGGGGAAAGGGATGATGAGAGGATGCTGCCGGTGAGCAGGTGGGTGGATAGGAGTCAATGGAGCGGCGCAGGTGGGAAGGAAGTGTAGATGGCAGGATGGATGGGTGAGCAGATAGTGGGTTGGTGGTGAGCACTTGAGTGGGGATGGGCAGGTGCACCTTGGGGCCTACCCCTCTCCTCATGTCCCTCCTGTGAGCACAGAGCTCATGGAGCCCATCCCAGTGGTGGTGACTCCCTGGTGCCATCTCCAGGGCTGCTGCTCTGTGGCCCTGCCTGCAGCCACCTCCCTGCTGAGCCCCTCGCAGGTGGCAGGCAGCCCAGGGCCCAGCGGGACACCCCAGAGTGGAGCCAGCTCCCTGAGAGCCCTTCTCCCCAGCTAGCCCTAAACCTTGGCATTTGATTTTGAGACACACTCTCCCTGAGATGCCCAGGCTGGCCCTGGCCCTGCAGTTTTCCTGCCTCAGCCTCCTGCGCAAATGGGGTCCCAAGCTGGGTCCACAGATCTGGGGAACGCTTTGCTCTTCAGCGCTAGGATGGACCCCAGGACCTTGAACACACTGGGCAGATGCCCAGCACTGAGCCTCATGCCAACCACAGGGTTTATCATTTTTCAGCAAGAGAGCTTGATGCCTCCTCCTGCCCCGGCTCCTGCACGTTTCTCGGGCTGAGCTGCTTCCATTGTCACTACCTCAAGCATTTCTCCAGAGTCCACCAAACATGCATGTGTCCTGCAGGAAGCCCTCAAAAGAGCCATCTCAGGCCCAGGCCAGAAGGACGCAGAGCAGGACGCAAACCCTGAGTCTCCACTGTGTATGAGGTCAGCACTCGATAGGTGCCCCTCCGCTCCAAAGCCATCTGTGGCTCCCCAGGGCTCTGAACACGAAGTCTGTGTTCCCTGTGGGGCCCACAGACACCTGCCCCCCACCTGTGGCTGTCGCTGCATGGCTCCCTGTGCCCTCCCAAACTGCTGCATGTCCTCAGCACTGCACCCTGCACATGCCAACCTCAGGACCATGTCCCCTTCAGCTCCCACTCCAGGTGGGGCCCACTGCGCTCCTATCTCCCCCTCGCTATGTGTTGTCCAAAGCCTCCCTCCTCCCTGCCTCAGCCCCAGGAGGGTGCTCCCATAGGCAGGGCTCTAACAAATATGGATGTCTACTAAGCCTCAGGAGCACACCTGACAGTGCCCCTGGGCTGAGCTCGGATTGTCCCGACTGGAATCAGACTCCCTCCCTCCTCACTCCTGCTAAGGACACTGGTGGTCCCAAGGCCGCAGGGAGGGCTGGCATGGTCGAAGATCCAGGCTTGGGCCCTGTTTGCACTCACAATTATTTGGAGGAACACCTCAACCTCTGTTATGACAGTGGGAGCGGGGTGCAGCAGGACAGCCAGAAATTGCAACACTGCCTGGGCAGCTGAACAAGACCCTGCCTCAAAATAGAAGTTAGAAAGGGCTGCAGGCATAGCTCTGCGTGTGGTCTTGCATTCAGTCCTCAGTGCTGGAAGGCAGCAAGAATGGAGAAAGGGAGGCAGAGGCCTGGGTCCCAGGCGCACCCTTGGGCAGAGGCTGCCACAGACACCCCGGGCTGCAAAGCCAGGTTGGCAGCTTCCTGGAGGACTGTAGCCTGGGGTCACCAGGGAGGAGAACAGAGCTGTGGGAGGCGGATAGCGAGGGCCTTGGGAGGGCACAGAGAGGAGACTGGGACGGGTGGCTGATCTGACTGCAATGGGATGGGGGGCAGAGGCTGTGGGAACACTGGGCGTGTCGACATGGGCTTCACCCCTGGGAATGTGGCCCCCAGAGCCCTCAGGCCGCCTCCGCACCCCTCTGTGCGCACACAGCTGTCCCCACACAGATGGAGCGTGGGAGGGGCGGAGGCTACTGCCACAGCCTGGCGCAATCCGGGAGCTTCCGGGTGGGGTGTGGGCTACCCAGGCCGAAGGCCTGCAGGGCAATGGCTCCCTGGCACCTTCTGGATGAAACCTGTGTGTGTGGCAGCGGCCACAGGCCCTGGCCACTGCTGACCACTGCCCCTGGCCACAGTGATCCTGCCACCCCCCACCCATTCCACTTTGCCCTCCCTGCGTTCTCCAGCCTATCTCAGCCCCAGGACCTTTGTACTTCCCTGCCTGCTGCCCAGCGTGCCCTTGGGAATCACCTGGCTCAGGGCAGAGGGTGAAGAGATCACAGCATGGCACAGACCCCTGATCCTAGCACACAGGAGGCTGAGGCAGGAGAATGGCTGCAAGTTGGAGGCCAGCCTACATGACACAGAGAGACCTTGTCTCAAAACAATGAAAACAAACAGAAAATGGACCTTCAGACCAATGGGGGCCCAGACTTCACACACCTGGCTGGCTGGTGCCCTCCAGATGTAGCTGCCCAGGACCCCCCAGGATTCTGGCCAGAGGCCCAGGACCCAGAGCCCCCCAGGCCTGAGCCCAGGTCCCCAAGTCCCTTCTGATGTGGCCGCGATTTCTCCGCCCCACTTTCTGCCCTTCACGCAGTGGATGTCGGAGCCCTCAAGAACGGTGGTTCCAAAAATACCCGGGTGACCTAGCTCCAGAAAATGGGCCACCCTGCCCTACCACCTGGCACCCCGGAGGTAATTAGTGCGTACCTCGAATTAGGGCAATGAGGTCTGTGGGAAGCAGGCTCCCCCCCAAGCTATGGCATTCCCCTGCAGCCCCCCGTCCTGGGCACACAAATCCAAGCTAGCTGGATCCCACTCCTGGTCTCCTCCCGGCCTGTGGCTTCCCAGGGCCCTGAAGTTGAGGGACTCACTTGGGCCCCACTCTGGTTCAAGCTGATCACCTTGAGTAATGCAAAATCACCAGAACAATTGAGTCACAAGGCTCCTTCTCTCTGGGCCCTCCTGTGCCCCTCTGTACCCTGAGATGCACTCAGGCTCCAGGAGCCAGAGTTGAACACAGACTCCTAGACCACTGACACAAGGGCTAGAACAGAAGAAGGGAAGGAGATGGGGAGGGGATGCAGAAGAAGAAAAGGGGGACATTGTAAGTGGGGTTTCAAGGGATGAATAGGAGTTTTCAAAGAAGCTAAAGTATGGCGTCTGCTCCAACTAGCAATGGCTAAGGTAAAGGAGAGAAGGAAGAGGATGGCTATTGAGGTCACAAGCTAAAGATTGAGAATATCATGCCAGGTTGGAGACATTTCTGGGAACTCATGGCTGACTTCCACCCTTGACAAAGAATATCTTATGAATTTGGTTCAGAAATGCAGTCACAGAGGCTGGGGAGATGGCTCAGTAGAATAAGCGCTTCCCTGGCAAGTGCAAGGACCTGAGTTCAATCCCTGGTTCCGCACAAAAAAAAGAAAGAAAGAAAGAAAGGCAGACACTGTGGTGCAGGCCTATAATCCCAATACACAGGAGGCTGAGGCAGAAAGATCAAGCTGAGTTCAAGGCAAGACTGGGCTACATAATGAGAGCCTGTTTAAGAGAAACAAACACAAGAACAAAAACAAAATAAAAAATTTGGCTGAAAAAAATTAGGGTGTAGCTCAGTGGCAAAGTGGTGAGCTCCACCTCCAGTACCTTAGCAAAAGAGAGGAAAAAAAGATTGTGGATCAAGACCTATCTCGAAATTTATTATTATTATCAGTAGTAGTATTTCATCATTTGCAATACTGAGAACTGAACCCTGGGCTTTCACACTGAGCTACCTACCGACCTTTTTGGGTTTCGAGACAGGATCTTGCCTCATCACTAAGTTTTCCAGTCTGGGTTGGCGTTTGCAATTCCGTCTTATCCTCCCAAAGTGTGGGGATGATGACAGGCGTGTGCCACTGTACCCACCCTTAATAAACATAACACTTACAACTTCAAGCATTTACAGTAGGCATCTCCTGCGTGTGGATGGGGAAACTGAGGCACCGAGCTCGGCCTTCCAGGTTGCAGTGGGGCAGGAGGTGCCAGTGGCTGGTTCTCCGGCTGGGATTAGAGTCCTGGTCATCAGCGCCCTCCCCTCCTTGAGCTCACTGCATCCTGCAAGAGCTGCTCAACCGTGCTTCTTCACCCCTCCTGCAACAGTGAGCTCATTCCCCCCGCACCCCGGAAGAAAACCCAGGTCTTGGGGAAACGCCCCACTAGTCAGCTGCCTCGGGCCGGAGGCCGCAAGCCCCGCGTCTCGTCGCCCATTGCTGCTCCGCGCCATCATCACATTCCCCAGGCCCCTGAGGAGGGCGAGGGCACTGAGGCGGCTTCAGGTCCCGTGCGTTCTAGGGCAGGTGGGGTGGGGAGGCGGCTTCAGGTCCGGTGCGCTCTAGGGCAGGTGGGGTGGGGAGGCGGCTTCAGGTCAGGTGCCTCCAGGGCAGGTGGGGTGGGGAGGCGGGCAGGGCGCAGCGCAGCTCTTGGCTCCGTAGCCGTCTCCGCCCACACAGGGAGCCGAGTCTGCTAAGAGTCTGCTCGGGCCCAGCGCCCAGCCGCTTCCCCCAGAGTAGCCACATGGCCCTGCCCCGCCGCCAGCCGCCACTTGGCGAAGCTTGGCCACCGGCACCAGCCCCACTTACTTCTGGACCTTCTCATGACGCTGTGTTAAGACAGCAAAGTCACTGGGAGCTGAACAGACGGTATTTGCTTTGTTCCCTCCAGCGCTGGAGCGTTGTGTGGCTTCGGGCCTGAGAATGAAGTCAAGCGTTCGCCTCTGCTCACGCGGGATGATGCTAGGACCTGCAGGGAAGTTGAGGCCTGGACCCCACGCCTCATTGTCCCCGGTGATGGAACAGCTGCTCTCGTGCTGAGGTGGCCAGCTCTGGAGAAGCTAGGGTGATGTCGGGGTGCAAGGAGGCACCCCAGATACAAGCAGGGAGGGAAGCAGGAGCTGACAGCCAGCCCCTAGAGGAACAAGTCCAAAGGCCACGCCTGTCATTCCAAAGGCAAAGCACTCTGGGAGGCTGAGGCCAGCCTGGACTACACTGTGAGACCTTGTCTCAAATGACAACAGAAATCCCCAGAAAACAAACCCCCCAGATGGCTTGGCCTGGAATTCACCCACAAGCCACGGAAGGCGCAGACGGGGAGTCTCTACCTGCTTGGCCAGAGGAGCCGAGAGTAATCCGCAGCCCCAGGTGCCAGGTGGCTCTGGAGGTTCCCAGGGACCACAGAGCACCAGGGTCACAGTGGAAGGAGCCCCAGGACCAAGCCCCCAATCACCTCCTTGAGGATGCACTGCTGTGATCCGGGGTGGGGGGCGAGGAGGCCCAGGTGTCCCCGCGTCCAGCGCAGCCCAGCTCTCGCTGTCGTCTCACCCTTTCCTCGCGTTCTCTCCGATGCTGGGCAGAAGCCGGGGCTCCTGGACCCTCAGGCACTGACCACTGCCCCCCAGGCCGCCTGGGTGTCTGGGGAGAGGACAGCGTGGCTAGACCCCTCCCACGCGCGCCGTGGCAGCAACTGTAGTCTGCAGGCTCCTGACCCGGTGGATGCGGAGGGAAGACCCGACCCGCAGAGGCCCGAGATTAGGGGTCCGGGCTGGGCCTGCCAAGGCATGCGGGTGTCCAGTTCTGTTTGTCCATCTGCTTCCTGTGTCGCCTCGGGCTCTGGGTCGCTATCATTCCAGATGTCCCCCCGTGTTGCTCTGTCCCCACCCCTTGCCCCTTCCCGGGTAGAGGCCCCAACTCCCCTCCCCCTCGCACCCCTCCCCTTCCCCCGCGGCCGGCAGGGGGCGCGTGCGGCGCTCGGGCCGGGAGGCGGGGCGGGCGCGTCGGGACCGTCGCCGCTATGGGACCGGAGGCGGCGGCGGCGGCGGCGGCGCAGACAAAGGCGCGGGGAGCAGCGGCAGCGCGGAGCAGCGGCGGGGCCGCAGGAGCGCAGGGTGAGCGGCCGAGTGCGCGGGCGAGGCGGGGACCCTGAAGTTCGACGCTCGCTTCGGGGGTGACCCCAAGTCCGGGAGCACGCGAGGTCCCCACGTTCCGGACCCAGCGTAGGCGAAAGCTGACGGGGGGAGGTCCAGACGTTCCGGATTCAGGGTGCGGGGGCGGCGCAAAGTGGGAAGCGGGGGTCCCCGAAGTTGGAGACAGAGGCCTGGTGGATAGGGGTAGGGGTGGGGATCAGGGCCGAGATCTCCAGAGTTCCGCGGGCGAAGGAGGAGGACCCCGAAGTTCCAGAGCGGGGGTTGGGGAACAGAGGGCGGACCCCGGAGTACTGGCTCCGGAGTCGGGCGGCTGTGTGGGATCCGGGAACTTGCAGAGTCGGGTGGCTCGTCCTGAAGTTGGGGCGCGCGGAGCCCTCCGGCCGCTGTGGGGGACGCAGCCCACGTGGACCCCGGGTTCCTAGTTGGGGCGCCTAGAAGGAACCCTCCCCGCCGGCCGCGGCCCGAGGAGTCCCGGACACTCGGGGTGTCGCCCTGCAGCCCCACGCCCTCCTCGGCGCGTGACTCGCGGAGTCGGTAACTTTCCCGGCGCTGCTGCGAGTCCGGGCAGGAGCAGCTCGGCCGGAAGGGCTTGGGTTCTGGGGATCCCTGCTCCCCAACCTCAGTCAGGCCCGAGACCTGACCTCACTCCGTGCCCGAGTTCGAGACCCTGGGACCCGGACCGCAGCTGCCTAGTGCATGGTGTGGGATTCCGCAAACCCCCTGCCCTCCGGGAGCTCTCACGCTCCGAGCTTTTCCCGGGTCTTCTGCGGGTCGCCTGGAGGCAGATTTTGGGGTACAGGGATTGCATCAGGAAGGAAGGGTGGTGCAGCTTTGCCGGCTTCTTGGGGTGGTGGACCCCAGGGAGCGCTGTCCGCCTAATCTTGTATTCTGCCTGCCCCCTCATGGTGGGCGCCAAGACCGACCGTGCAGATCTATCAAATCTTTAATTTTTTTTTTTTTTTTTTTTTTTTTGCAGAACCAGGGATTGAACTCAGGCCCTCCCGCTTGCCAGGGAAGTGCTTATTCCACTGAACCATCTCCCCGGCCCCCAAATCTTTAATTTTTGGCTTAATTTTTTGAAATGGGATCTCTGTAGCCCAGCTGGTCTTGAAGGCCGGGGCTCAAGCGGTCATCCTGCCTCAGCCTCCCCAGAGACTCCCAGCCTATCTCCTTTATTTTAGCTAGGCTGGGTGTTCCCTGAGGGCTTGAACTGTAATTCCAAGGAGTAGTTCTGCCTAGGGTGGGTACTGAGGGGTCTCTCTGTGGGTAGAGTGTGCCCTGGTCTCCCAGCAGGTATATGGCAATGCCAGGCTTTTATTACTATCACTATAGTTTTTTGGGGGGGCTTGGGGATGGAACCCAGGGCCTTGTGCATGGTAGGCAAACGCTCACCACTGAGCTGCATCCCAGCCCTGTGAATAAGCTGGAGGTGAGTTTGCCTTCTGGCCCAGTATGAGAATGCAGTCACCTTGCACTAAGTGACTTACACTGATGGCCTCTGATTGAAGCTGTGGGGACAGGGCAGCCAGCTGGCTGGGACCTGCTGGCCCTGCAGCCTGGCCTAGGGACACTCACAGGGACACTCTCTCCCCAGGACCCAGACTGGCTACTCTTGTCCCCCTGAGGCTGCTCTGGAAGCCGGTCCAGCCCAGTCTGACCAATGTCCACAGCCAGGTGAGCTCCCAGCTGCCCTGAGGGGCATTCTGCACCCCCGTACCCCGGGAGTTGGGGTGCTGCCCTCCTGACACTCTGTCCCCTGCAGGGAGCAGCCAATCTTCAGCACCCGGGCACACGTATTTCAGATCGATCCGGCTACCAAGAGGAATTGGATCCCTGCAGGCAAGCATGCCCTCACTGTCTCCTACTTCTACGATGCTACCCGCAACGTCTACCGCATCATCAGCATTGGGGGTGCCAAGGTCTGGACAGGTCCAAGTGTGTGTGTGGGGGAGTCCCAGTGACTGTTTGCAGCCCCCTAGGTGCCTTGGGGACCAGGAAACCCTAAGGGTAATGTGCTCCTGAAGTGATTGGAGCAGGGGCTGCACATCATAGTACAAGGCACTGTCCTGTCATCCTGAGAGTTGTGTTCCATGCCATCAAGGCCATTGACCTTGAACTTTGCCCCCTGTACCAGGCTATCATCAACAGTACTGTCACTCCCAACATGACCTTCACCAAAACCTCCCAGAAGTTCGGGCAGTGGGCAGACAGTCGTGCCAACACCGTCTATGGCCTTGGCTTTGCCTCCGAACAGCATCTGACCCAGGTGGGGGCTGGGAGGAAGGAGGGAGGGACAGGACTCCAGTGGGCTCAGAGGTAGAAGCCCTTGCTACTCCAGCTCTGCCAGCCACTTGTGCTTCCTCTTATTCCCAGTCCCTGCCCTCTGCTGTCTGCTTCAAGATCGCCTGAGTTGTCCTGGTGGTACATACCTGTAGTCCTAGCCACTCAGGAGATTGAGGCAGGAGGATTGCAAGTTCCAGGCCAGAGCTTGGGCAGTTTAGCAAGCTGCTGTTGCCAAATAAAATGTATGAAAAGGGTTGGTTAGGGAGGCAGCTTGGTTGTGAGTAGTTGTGCGTTCTCTCTCTCTCTCTCTCTCTCTCTCTCTCTCTCTCTCTCTCTCTCTCTCTCTCTCTCTCTCCCTGGGTTCCATCCCCCATGCTGGTGGGGGGGAGTCTGTATGCATTGTTTCTTTTGATGATTAGTGCTTCCGTTCTGCAAAGATTCTGTCCTCTGTTTTATTCTAGAAGCATTATAATTTTCCTTTCAATGTTAGGTCTTGAATTAATTTCTGTGGGTGGTACAAGGTAGGGCTTAAGGTTCTTTCTTTCTTCCTTTTTTCTTTTTATCCAGCATGAGTATTGAGTTGCTTTTGGGCTGTTTTTCTTTTTTTGCTTCTTTTACCGTGCTGGGGATTAAACCCATGAGGTTGTTGATTTATTTTATTTTATTTTATTATTTTTTAAGATCCTTTTCCTTCACTGCTTTTGTACGATTCAAGTGGGTATGCTTGCTAGAATTTTTTTCCTTTTTTCTCGGTGGTTCTGGAGACTGAACCCAAAGCCTTTGCACTGAGCTACATCCCCAGTCCCCCTTTTTAAATTTTTTTTTTTAAATTTTATTTATTTATTTATTTGAGAGAGAGAGAGAGAGAGAGAGAGAGAGAGAGAGAGAGAGAGAGAGAGAGAGAGAGACCAGCTCAGCCCACCAGGGGGCGGGCTGGCTGGCATGTGGTGCTGGGGGATTGAACCGCGGTCCCTGATGCTTTTGCTAAGCTTGTTCTAAGTAGGTGCTTTAGACCACTGAGCCATCTCTCCAGCCCCTAAATTTTTTATTTTGAGACAAGGTCTTATCAGCTTGCTCAGGCTGTCCCAGAGCTTGGGATCCTCCTGCCTGAGCCTCCCACAATGCTGGGGTTATGGGTGTGCATGCACCACCAGGCCCTGACTCTGCCTCATTGTATTTAAAGCCACCTCTGTGACTGTCCCTCCTGCCTAGCCTGATACTTATGCTGTCCATAGGACATTGTTCTCCAAACCTTCTCCCCCTTTGGGTTTGTGGCTTATGGAGATGTACACTGTTTCCAGAGTCTTTTTCCCAGCTGACAGGGCAGGGCCTGGGTGGGGACCTGGTGGAGGCTGAGGAGGCTGCAGGGTTTGTTGACTGCCTGCTGCCCCCTTCTATGCCCCCAGTTCGCTGAGAAGTTCCAGGAGGTCAAAGAGGCAGCGCGGTTGGCCCGGGAAAAATCTCAGGATGGAGGGGAGCTCACCAGCTCAGCTCTGGGGCTCATGTCTCACCAGGTCAGCACCCTGATGTTGGAGACACCGGGTGGATGTGGGGGTCTGGGCACTGCGCCGCTGTCCAGGACGAAACCCTTACAGGTGGCTGCAATGACACCGTTGGTGGAGACACCTCCATCCCCAGGTCAACGCACCACTGACCTTGGTCATGACCCTGGTGACCTCGGCCCAGACCTCACGGGCGGCCTTGTGCTCCCACGGCAGGTGCTCCCGAGCCCTCTGGTCAGTGCCAACGGCCCTGGAGAGGAAAAGCTGTTCCGCAGCCAGAGCGCCGACACACCGGGCCCCACAGAACGTGAGCGGCTCAAGAAAATGCTGTCTGAAGGGTAAGGGATGAGGGGTGAGGGCTGGGCAGGCAAGGGTGTCAGCCTAACGTCCCTGCCCAGCTAGGCTTCTGGAGCCACGATCCTGCTGGACCTGCTGGACCGTGGTGCTATTTGGTTCTGTCCCGCCCCATTGAGGGAGTAGCTCCGCCCACCACAGTATTGCCCCGCCCCTGGCCCTATGATCCTCGCCTTGCCCTCAACTGGCGTAACTCCAGTCTAGGCACACTCACTGATGTTGCCCCGCCCACAGCACGGTTGGGGCCGCCCCCAACTTGACATGGCCCTGCCCACCAGGCATTTCTAGGCTTGTAGCGGGTTCTCCCGCCTCTCTGCAGCTCCGTGGGCGAGGTGCAGTGGGAGGCGGAGTTCTTCGCGCTGCAGGACAGCAACAATAAGCTGGCGGATGCCCTACGAGAAGCCAACGCCGCGGCCGCCCAGTGGAGGCAGCAGGTGGAGGCCCAGCGCGCAGAGGCCGAGAGGCTGCGGCAGCGGGTGAGGGCGTCCTGCCCAGAGAGCCCTCCCGGCCCTTGGCGCCTGCGGAGCTGGGACCGCGCGCCCCACCTGCCCGAGTCAGGTCACTTCGGGAACTTGGCGGCTCTCTTCTGAGGGTCCTCAAGCCTGTTGCTCTAACCAGCTGCTGTGGATAGTGGCGCACACCTGTCCTACCGCCACACTGGGAGGCTGAGGCAGGAGAATCGAAAGTTTGAGCCCAGCCTGGGCAGCTTAATGAGACCCCGATCTGAAAAAATGAAAAAGGATTGGAGTTGCAGCTCAATAGAGGGACAGTTTTTAGTTGCCCAATGTGAGGGTGGGCCCAACCATGGGGGTGAGCTCTGGGCTACGTGGACCTGGTTGGGCTGAGTGTTCTGTGGATGCAGGTGGCGGAGCTAGAAGCCCAGGTGGCTGCAGAGCCAGCCACTGCCACAGAGAAGGAGGCACCTGGCCAGCCCCTGGAGAAGCTGGAAGCGCTGGTGAGGACCAAGGACCAGGTGAGCCGCCCTGGCCAGGGCCTGCCCGCCCTTGCCACCTGAGGGACAGGACTCCCAAGCGCCCCCTTCTGTTCTAGGAGATCCAGACATTGAAGAATCAAACCGGGGGACCCCGGGAAGCCCCAGATGCTGCCGAGCGGGAGGACATGGAGCAGAAGGTGCAGGTGGGTGTAGGCAAAGGTTTAGGGGGAGGACAGGCAGGACCTACCCCTGCACTTCACCCTCACTGTGAATGGGATCAGAGCTGGGCTGGTGGTGTAGACCTTTCAGCCTGTATTCTGGGAGGCTGAGCCAGAGGAGCCCCTGGATGTGTTTTCTTCAGTATGACAGGAGCCCCAGGAGGCTCAGAGCGGAGGAGGGGGCCCACGGGGATAGTACTGAGATGCCAGTGACCCTGAGCTTGTCCCAGTGTCCCATCTCCTCCTTCCGCAGGACCTGGAAGCACAAAACTCTGAGCTGGAGCAACAGCTGCGGGCAACTGAGCGCAGCCTGGAGGAGGCAAGGGCGGAGCGGGAGCGGGCGCGGGCCGAGGTGGGCCGGGCAGCACAGCTTCTGGACGTGCGGCTATTTGAGCTCAGCGAGCTTCGGGAAGGCCTGGCACGGCTGGCCGAGGCCACACCCTGAGCCAGCACCAGTGCTTGGGTCCGAGGAGGCCCTCAGGGCTGGTCCTGCAGAAATGGGCCTTGGTGGGCACATGCGCCTGGCTGCAGTGGTCAGGCCAGGCTCATGACCCTACTGGGGTTCCAGGAGCTAACCCAGCTGACCTGGCCACGGTCAGCCTGGTGGCTGTCTCAGCTTCACTGTGTAGACTCTAGGATCCTGGGCATGCGCTGTGCCTACATTACATTTCTTAAGCCTGGCTACATGTGTGGTGTGGGCGCCTCAACCTGTCACTGCCGAGACAGAGTCTCACTGTTGTCCAGGCTGGCCCTGGAGCTTACTTTACAGGCCAGGCTGGCCTTGAACTTGTGGGGATGTCCCTGCCCAACAACCACCACTGGCTGTAGCAGGGAAGCTCTTGGCGTAGAGCTGTGCTCACCAGTCAGGGGCCAAAGTGGAGAACTGTGAATGCAGAGCAGGGAGCTAGGACAAGAGCAAGGGCTGTGCCCCAAGCCCGGTGTCTGCAGTGGCCAGCACTGCCATCCAGGCCAGTGATGTCTTGAGGCCTCAGGCCTACAATGGGGGTGGGGGAGCAACAAGATTTTTTTGGGGGGCGTCAAAAGTCACAACCATGTGAAAAGACCCCTTTATTAAGCAGTGGTCCTGGACCCATGCCACCCTCAGAGCCCACTCTCCTCTGCACCTCCAGCCGCACAGGTGTCTGTCCAAGGGTCCAGCTTGGGGGATGCTGTCTGCAGGTGCCGTGTGGTGCTCATGCTGGCCCCGGGGCTGGCTTTGGGGTCCGGGGCAGTGGTCCCCCATAGCCTGCCCTGCTGGCCACCTGCCGCCGCTTCAGTGCCTGTCCCACCTTCTCCTTGAAGCGCCGGTTTCTCTGCTTGATCTTGGCCAGCTCGGCCTTTCGCTTGGCCTCCAGGTCAGGGTCCTACACGGCAGGGCAGGGTGTTGAGCAGTTACCCAGGCCCCAGGACCACACTGCCCATCCCGGCAGCCCTGAGCTCACCTTCCCCTCCAGGATGAGCTGCTTTCGCTTGTTGATCTCCTTCTTCTCATCGAAGTGGGCCGCCTCCAATTTCTAGGGAACAAGGCAAAGCTGGTTATAGGTGGCCAGAATAGGGCACGCGGTCCTGCAGTCCTGCAACCCTGCACGGGTGCCCCAGCCGACACTCACAATCTCGCACTCCCTGCGGACCACATTGACCTGCGTGAGGATCTGCAGCACCGAGGCCTCCTCCACTGGCAGCTCCTCCAGCTGCTTCTCTGTGGGAAAGGGACAAGTGGGGACATGGCAGGGACATGCTCAGCCCTAAGCTCTAGGAGAGACGGGCATGTGAGGCCCAGGGGGTACAGATTGCTGGCCTTTAGGTTTTTGTTGGTACCAGGGCTGGAACAGGGCCTTCACGCTGTGCTCCAGCCCCAGCCCCTTGTACTTTAGGCCATTTTTGCTGAGTTGCCCAGACCAGGAATGAACTTGCAGCCCTCCTGCCTCAGCCTCTGGAGGGCTAGGATCGCAGGTGTGTGCCACCACACCTGGCTGGCTTTTTATGTGGAGGAATTACTGTGCTCCCAGCACTCAGAAGGCTGAGACAGAAAGGGTACATCAAGTTTGCCTCAAGCTACATAGCGAGACCCTGTCTCAAAAACCCCCACGCACTGGGTTGAGGATGCACTGCCACTCTGCGTTCTGCACCCACAGACTCTACCAATCATGGATTGAAACCATTAAAAAAAAAAAAAGCCAGGGCTGGTAGATGGCTCAGTGGTCTAAAGCACCTACTTAGAACAAGCTAAGCTAAGCAAAACACAGGGACTGCGGTTCAATCCCCCAGCACCACATGCCAGCCAGCCCCGCCCCCTGGTGGGCTGAGCTGGCCACACACTCACAAAATAAATATTAAAAAAAAAAAAAAACAGACCACACCCTCCTGGAGGCTTTTCCTCTCTGAGCCACACCCTGGGCTACTTCCTCTCATCCTTATTCCTCCAATGACACCACAGCCAGCAGAGGCCCACAGTGCCCACCCTATCAACACCTAGTCCTGACCTCAGGGCGAGTGAAGCCTGCAGGTGGATGTGTGTGGATCTTTCTCAAATGCCACCCTACTTTATACAGAGGACTTGCAAGTTCAGATTTGGTGTCCAAGGGGGTATCCTGGAGCCCCTTCCTTGAGGGGACTACGGGCCAACTATTCATTTCTATGCACTGATGGGCTTTAAAATCAAAGCCCGGCACAGTAGCGTGGGCCCGCAGTAGTGTGGTCCCAGTTATCTGGGAGACTAAAGCAGGGGCTGAGCTGAGGAACACAGCAAGATCCCTCCTTCCCCCAAAACAAGCCCAAGGCAGGGGCAGCTTCTGACTCGAGCCACATACAGCTCAGGCACTCAGCCTGCCTGCCCCAGCCACTGTCGTCACACCGAGGTCTCGGGGTCTGCTGTGCACACTGATCTGAGATGGCTCCGAGGAAGCTCTGGGCGGAAGACACTTGTGGATGGCCTGGCCCCAGCCCGCCCCACTCACTGATCTGCTCCTCAATGGCGTGCACCAGGTGGATGTCATACTGCGTCACCAGTGTGATGGCCTGGCCCTGTCGCCCTGTGGGGAGGACATGGGGTAACAGTGTGGTTATGGGTCCTAGGGCTTGGCAGAGAAGGGGCCTGTGACTGGGCAACCTGTGGTGCACTGGGGTGACAGCTCTGCTGCCAGCCTGGCCTTCCCTGCAGGGCTGTGTGCAAGAGAGGAAGGGGGAGGGGGAGAGAGACACAACTGCTTTCCCTTTTTGGCTCGGCTGCCAGGGAGCCCAGGCTAAGTACTATCGGACAGGAGCTGAGGGGCCTCAGCCTGATCTCTGCATGCCAGCTTCTCTGCTCTCATTTTTAGCACAGTCAACCACAACCTGCCACCCATCAGGTGACAGCCCAAGGCCGGGGTCAGGATGGAAGGGCTAGTGCCCACCTTGGCCTCTGGTGTTCTGGGGACGCTAGGGTGGAACCCAGGGCCTGGCTGTGCTCAGGAAGCTCTTGCCACTGCCACTCTGCTTCTGAAGGGAAGAGGCTGCCCACACCAGCCACCAGCCCACGCTGGTGCCTGGCATCACGGGCCACATACCACCTGAATGTGACTGGACCTGCCGCGATCTCACCTGCGCGGGCCGTGCGGCCGACTCGGTGGATGTAGATCTTGGGGAGCCCGGGGGTGTTGTGGTTGATGACCACCTGCACCGTGGGGATGTCCAGGCCCCTGCAAGCAGAAGCTGCTCAGTGGGAAACTGCCTGTGGTTCCCCTGGGTCGACCTGGCAGTGACACCAGGGCTGCCTGACTGGTGCCCAAGAGCCTGACCCAGAGCCGCTCACCGGGAAGCTACATCCGTTGCGATCAGGATCCGGTAGATGCTGGACTTGAACTTGGCCAGGGCTGCAAAGCGTTCTTTCTGGGTGGCCAGGAGGGCAACAGGGTTAGAGTGGCAGCATCCCCAGGCGTTGGGTGCAGGGGCCCAGGATCACCAGCTGTTCTCCGGGCAGCAGCCTTGTCCCCACTCCTCGCTTCTCCCCATTCCTGGCCAAACAGCTCCGCACCAAGGCCCTCTCTGCCTGGAGCTGCCCGTCTGTGGCCTCAGTTCCTGAACTGTGAGCTAAAATAAACCTCTCTTCCTCTGCGTCAGTGTCGGGTATTTTGTCCCAGGGCTGAGAAAGCAACCACCCAGCCAGGACAGTCGCCGCCCTCCCAGCTTAGGTCTGATGAAGCACAGGCTGGAATCAGCCTGGATGCGAGGAGGAGCCAGGGCAAGAGGGCCGTCCGTGCCCAAAAGCAACACTGGCAAGCAGAGATACCTGCTGGGATCCCTGTACTCCGGGAGGCTGAGGTGGAGGATCATACCCTCCAGCCCAGCCTGAGACCCTGTCTCTAGGAAAAAGTCAAAACCAAAGTAAATAACCCCAGGCAGACGCAGGGGTCTGCCTCTGGGAGTGTCCGAGTGTTCCTCACCTGCTTCATCATGGAGTGCAGCGCCACCGTGGGAAAGTTGAACTTGCGTAGCATCATGCACAGAATCTGGCAGGTCCTGGATGGACAGAGGTGACCACTGACCTGTCCTGCCCCAGAGACACCAAGCAAGGTGGCCTTGTGCAGCTTAGAAATGAGAAGGGATAACGAATGCAGGAGCACATGCCTGTAATCCCAGCACTCCAGGAACTGAGGCAGGAAGTTCTTTGCCAGTTTGAGGGCAGCCTGAACTACACAGTGAGACCCTGCCTCAAAAATCCATACCAAACAACAAGAACCATGAAGAGAGGTGTGGGGCCCCAGAGGTCCGCTGTCCTCTGCCAGTCCCTCCCCAGACCTGCAGCAGTAAGCTCAGTCCTGGCGTGTGGCTCAGGGCACAGCACTTGGCTCTCGCGCACAAGCCCCTGGGTTCCCCCCGCAGAGCTAGTGCTGGGTGGGGTGCGGCC